TTTCTGCCTCCCCCTCTCCCCACTGCAAATACAATGTACAGCAGTGAAGCAAAGGCAGAATAATTGCAATGCAAACTCCAAAACAGGAAGTAGAAAAATGGGAACACGTGAGAGTCACTAGTCCAAACAGTGGTAGAATCCTGGGCAGGTATCGTGAGGAACTTGACCATGACACTGAAGAAAATTATTTGATTGGATCATGCCTCTCTTCCTAAGAGGAGATCCTTTGTGCATGGGTCTCTGTGGCCTCTGGCTTTGTTCCACAGCCAAGGATTCTCATTGTCCATTATCTTCTATAGCCATATCTGAGGGTGTTGCTCCGGCCTGTGCCTTCCATGTGCATCAAAGTTCCTCTTTTTGGATATAAGTTAAGGGCCCTGAAGATGATTTTTTGAAGAGTAATGGGGATGCAGAGGATAGATTCATGGTTTCTTTGCCAATATCATTCTCTCAAAAACTTAGTTTCTGATATATTTGCTTACAGTTAATGCAAATGCAGCAATAATCACAAATTACTTTTCTAAACAGAGTTTTTTAAACCTGCTTCATTTTTCTCTCTCAACTTAATCTTAAAGTCATATGAAAAGATACATTTGGATATAAGGGCAACTGTCGAGGCTCCAGAAGCTGTTGAATTTTCAAAACTCACTTTTTCCTTCCATGCTTGTGACAACTAATGCCGCTTATGCCTATACAGTGTCCTGTTAGAAGAAGTGGGGGCAGCTGTGCTCAGTAATTTTGGCTCCAATTCCTTCCACTCAAGCAACAAAGCAGGGACGTGGCCTGCCTTCTGAATATCACAGTGACAGTATGATATAGTTACTCAGCTAAATATCCAGAAATCTTGGAAGAAAAGCATCCAGAAGTCCATCAGAACACCCTACCTGATATTATAAATGGTAGATGCAATACATACTCTCTGACTACTTCAAAATTGCTGCATTTTAAAATTACTTGTAATCTCACTGAGGGGAGTAATGGAGTCTTAGAATTTTCTAATGTCTATAATATAGCTCAACACTGGTAATTCATTTCATGAGTACTCAATACTTATTGATAATTTTATAAGTTAAAGAAACAAATTATTTTTATAGTCAACTGAGATATTTTCTGATTTTCCTATCCTATCTTCATCACTTTATAGATTCATATATAATAAGGCAACAAAATAAAATAACAAACATAATAGAAACAGACTCACAGAGAACAAACTGACAGCAATCAGAGGGGAGGGAGTTTGTGGGGCTGGGTGAAATAGGTGAAGAAATTAAGGGAAAAAAACTCATAGACACAGACCACAGTATGGTGATTGCTAGACGGAAAAGGAGGTGGCGAGAGGGAGAAGAGGGAAAAGGGGAGATAAACAGTGATAGGAAGGAGATTGGATTTGGGGTGGTGATACACAATGCAATATACAGATGATGTCTCATAGAATTTTACACCTAAATCCTACTTAATTGTATTAACCAATGCCACCCCAATAAGTTTAATAAAAAATGAAGGCAATTAAATTATAGTCTGAATGTGGATGGGAGCAAGGAGGATATTCTGTTATGCAAATATGGAACATTTTTTCATTTATCATTAATACAACCAAAATACCATTTGCCAAGCACTCTTCTGCTTAGGATATAATAGTGCATGAATGTGTGTTTTAAGATTGATTTTTAAAGAATACATTTGAAAACTAAGGTAAAAATAAACGATTATGAATTGAGGCACATAGAACTTTCTACTTTATATAAATGATCATTCAGAAGATCATCAATAGTACAATACTATTGTTAATTATTTGTAGAAACCTAGTAGAGTGTTCATGCATCTAGACTAAGGGTGCCAGAGACATTGTTCGTATTAGCATTTAGTAAAAGTGGCTTTTGATTTCTATTTTTCACATTAATTATAATTACCAATTACCCAACTCTGTGGTGAGGAGTGAATTGGATGGTCTCGACAGATAATGTGCAATTTAGAAGCAGTTGCAGGGCGAGGGCCAGGGGCTCTTAAGCGGTGAGCAGAGTGTAAGTGAGAATAATACATTCTACATTCTTCCTACTTCGATGAACAGCAGAGTCTATCAATGTAATTTTTCTTATTAAGAATGATGTAACAGCAGGATAAGAATATCTGACCCAGCACAGTACAGCTTCTAGCACAAAAATCTTACCAAGGCAAATAACCACTCCCCGTAAGTCACTAAACTGGTTCCAATAACCTATGAAATTTTAAAATCAGACACTGGTTTTAGACACATCTACACAGCATTGATTCATGAGTAATCATACATTACAGTTCAGTGCTTTGATGATAACTCTGAAAGGTATGTCAATAACCACTATATAAATAATCAATTTCTCCCTTTTCTGTGGAAATTTGTCTATTCCCTCAGCTTCAAAATTAGTATGTTTTTGGTCTTTGATGATGAAAGGGAGCTTTTGACATTGATGGGAATTTTGAGATGTAAAGAATTTTTGCCATCACTCAGAAGGAATTTTAATCTGTTATATCAGTATATACTGAGTATTAGTTGGTGGACAATATTTGGATTCCAAGGTCATGGGGAAAAGTTGTCAAGTTAAAGTGTCTGAAATCATTCTAAGAAGGGCTGCATCTATTGGGAATTCATTTTTAAGCACAGTTTGATTTAAATACTATGACTGTATAAGAAATTTAAAGATATGTTATATTTTAGAATAAAGAGGGCAGGAGGAAACTTTAGGAGGTGATAGAAATACATACACACACACACAGCAGTAGGTTAGTGATGATTTCATAATTTATACTTTTCTATAGACTAGTCAAATTGTCTACATTAAATACAGCTTTTTGTATGTTAATCATACCTCAATAGAGTAGTTTTTTAAAATTCCAATAATCTATTATAACAAATATTTATGAAATCTAGTCACATAATTAAAAACATAGTGTTAAGAATGGACAACAGGGTGGGGATTGATTGTGGGAGCAGGGGGTGGTAGGCGAGGCAGGGGAGAGCAACAGGGAAAATATGGGACAGCTGTAATTCAATGGCAGTAAAAATTAAAAAAAAATTACATATGATTGATTATCCCAAATAATCGAATGGTACCCATTTGAGAATTAAAACACACCTTAAATTGCCATGATTTTAAATAGAAAAAAGTCTAAAATTGATTTTTCATAGCTATGTTTCCTCATACAGTATATTCCAACATTATTTATTATACCTTTATAACTTAGGTGGGTTATGTTATTTATCTATTAATTAATGCCATGTACCTGTCAAGGTCTAGTCAGAATACAGACTTTGCTTCTATCATTTTAACAGTAATGATTTAATATTAATACATAGGATTGTTAATTATGGATAAGTTGTTAACCGGTAGTCAAAAAGAGAAAAGGGAAACATTAAGACATCATGGAAAATCAACTGCAGTCCTACCTCATAGGACTGAGTGAAAAAGGGTGGATAGGGTGGAATTATTAAAACTTAGAACCTTGAAAAGGGGTACCTGCAGGGCAGAAACTCAGCCCTTTGTGTGGCGGCACTTCCTTTTCTGTTGATACTGGTGCTCTGCAACACAGAGGAGGGGCCGTGCAGAGCTGGGGGCACGTACTTCTGAAGAGAGGGCACCTATCTGCTGGGGCTAATGTCTTTGATGAGGGCACAAGGCACTTGTTTGTTCAAGCATTTAAAAAACTGCCAGCTGGATTCAGCTGCTGTGATGAGAATGACCTGCTGTTGTTGAGATGAAGTATTGCTAGGTTGATGCTCACTGCAACTGTAAGTCCAGAAGAAGCCTACAGAAAGCAGGCAGGATGAAGCAAGTCCCCTCTTCCTTCTCCAGCCTTGCATTCTTCTGCAAGTAACCCCTATTGCTAAAGCCTAACAGAAAGTCAGCTGGCACAGCAAGAATGTGGTTTGCAAATTTCCAATTGCCAGCATCACTAAAACAGATGTAGAAGGGTGAGTTTGGTGCTAAGAAAAAAACAAGCATAATAATACTTGGCACATGGCATTAGGAGACAATCGACTTACAGATAGGACAGAGCACATACTCTTGATGAATCCTCCCAGAAAATCTGCAGGCTTTTTGCAAGTACCTTACTCTCTGCCCTTCTAAACATGTTACCCATTGTTCAAGGAAGAATGGTAAAACAGGGTTGCACATGACCTCAAAACAACAGTGTCCACCTATAAAATCAGTCCATTTTTCTCTTACAAAATAAATGACAATAGCTCAGTGACAACTGTTGACCTAAATTTTTGGGAGTTCTTATGATTTAAATTTAGAATATGGGTATTGTTCAATAATTTAAGTGATCTAAAGTCTGACTGATGAGTTATAATACCTTAGCTAGCTAAAGCAATCATGGTATTTAAGAGTAGCTCTTTATATCCTATTTGTACACGTAACAGGAAGCAATAATCATCCAAATATACATGAATTACATGTATTCTGACACTGAAAGCATAATAGATTTGTGTCTTGAATTATGAACAAAATTAAAAACTTTTATATTCATGAGATATTGCATGGGACTTTGTAGACAATGAATTTTGTAAGTTATTATAATTTTTGAATTGTCAAGCATTTAATTTAGGAAAACATTACATTAAAATTAAGCACAAAACAAGTAATTATTTCTGTCATATTTATGTCTATTAAATTGTTAGTTTGATGATACAGAGATGATAATCCTCTGAAAGAACTAACAACCTAACTCTTTAAAGTATTTCTTTCTATCTTGCTTAAAACAAACAGCTTTCAATGAAGCAATTAGAATCTTATTACACAAGCTTGATCTTGATACCTACATTTGGAAAGGACTCATTATCAACAAAGACTAATGGAGTGAAAAGTGGATTTCACAGAGATTCTAAGTAGCTCTCTATAATTTTATCAGCTAACAGTTTTTTAAAAAGTGCTTCCCAGGGGTAGCAGTGAGGGGAAACAAAAAACATTACCGATGTGTATTTTTCAACATACATGATTAATAATGTTTAAAGTACCTCTTACCTATTAACATCCCAGATTTTACTGGTGGCATCCAATGAAGAAGAAGCCACAAAGTCACCACAGGAATGCCATGTGCAGGACCATACTGCATGTCTGTGTCCTTCAAAGGTCAAAATGCAATTGCCGTTAGACAGGTCCCATAATTTAACTGTAGTGTCACCACTGGATGTAGCCAACTTGTTGCCACTATTTGCAAAAACATAAAAAAGTAATTTGTTACAAAGTCAATTTACAATGTATTTTTATAAGTGGTTTTATTCTGTGAGTGATTTGTGTGTATTTGTTAATTTTACTTATAATGGCATATCTAAATGCCTAAATCTTATTACCTTAAGTCTACACAATTAGATGCTTACTTGTATTGTTTAGTAATTCAAGTTGATGAAACTGCCATTGCACATTTTCTAGTTTAATTCTTCTATATCCTCTAGATTAACTTATTAAACCTGTATTTTTTTTAGCATGTTAGATTCAGAATTACATATTCTGCTCTGTGGATGATGCAGGGTCAGAATGATGAAACTGTAGACATAGGCTAAGACAATTTCAAAAACAATACAAAATAGTAGGTTGGTGTTGCTTATGTTTGTGTTAATTAAATGCTTCAGGAGCACAGTTTGGACAATGAAGGAAGAAGTGAATCAGGAATGAGGGGTGTTTGACTTAGGTCTTCAGAGATGAAATCTTTGAAGTGCTCGGTAGTTGAGGATGGGTCACTAGGTTTTCCATTCAGATCATTAGTAGATGTTTAAAAAAAAAAAGCTGTGCCTTTCAAGTGGTGGACACACAAGCTAATTTAAGAAATGAGTGGGTATCAATAACATAAGTGGAAATATGTATTTTTTTGTAAAACATCATATGCAAGAATATTTCTGTTCCATTATCTTCTCCACACTGTCCAGCATTGCATTATCTTTCTATGTATTCTCTTAGGAACATCTCTCTCACTAAACATAATTAAATGTTTATTTTCTCTCCTTCCTTGTGTTTTTGATGAACCGTGTTTCCTCTCTGTTTCTACAGTATCAAGCATTATGACTGACCAACTGAAGTGCTAAGTAAATGTTTCCAGAAAAAAATATTCGACTGAATGAATGAATGAAGTTACACTATGAGTGAAGAAGTAAAGATGCCAGTTCTTCCTAAGAGAGAGATGAAATGGAAGGATCAAGAGAAGTGTTTCGCTGCTTGCATTTTTTTTTAGAGAGGGTGCTTATTTTTGTGCCGAGAGAATTAAATGTTTATGTGCAGAAGAGAAACAGCCACTGGAGAGAGAGCTTAATAAAGGTGTATGAGGAAAAGGTGAATTACAGAATGAAGAAGTTCTCAGGAAGGTTATAAAAAAATATCTATTTTAATTTTCAAATTAGCAGAGTTAAAAAAAATTGCTGTATTACTGGTAGTTCTTTACTAATAGATAGGAATTAAAAACCATCCTTTGCTTTGCAGCTTTTTTTATTTGTACATATATTTCCCATTCAAAATTTTACATTTTAATATTAAAGACCAAAAATATATTTTATAAAAATATTAAAAAATATAGAAATAAAAAGTAATTTAACCATGCCTCTTTCTCAAATCTTTCTGGTGAGCTCTCAAGCTAATATGGACATAAATCTTGCCCTAGAATAGAAATTGCTGTGGTATATTTCCGCATATGGCTGAAAAAATCCTTTCAAATAAGTTTTATATACTTTTCTCCTGCTTTAAACTATGTGTGGAACAAAAATCACAATAAACATAATTACAAGTGGAATATAGTCAACAATAGATATAGTCTCATAATATACTGAGATTATTGTTTATGTGTATGAACTCAACCAAATCTAAGATATATAGAATATAAAGTTCTAAAATGTTTTTTTCAAAAAGCATGATTTGAAATATGGAAAATCGTATGCTTTGATCCATAAGAAAACAAAGGCAGAGAGAGGGAATAAAAGGTAAACTAAAATACAAAACTGCTTTAAGTCATGTAAAAGTCAGGGTTTCCCTCCTTTCCACACAAATAGGAGATGCCAAATGCTGAGAAAGAGCAAAAGCTAATCCAGGTTATTAGCATATAGAATTAATCATTCTAATTAAGGCTCCCAGTATTGCACAGATAAAAGTCAACCAAATGTGACATTACAAAACAAAAAAAAAAAGTTACCAAACAATGAGAAATAAAAAGCCATGACTGAGGGTGAAGAGATAAAACTAATAAATACATACGCCTTAAAGGACCCTAGTTGTTTTAATTACAAGGTACAGAACATAACTATGCATGAAATGTGTAAAGCAAAAACGGGGGAAATAAACATTATCAAGTGACAAAATATTATACAAATTACCAGATCTAAAAAAAGCATTTTCAATAAAAATAAAATTATTGAAATTAACAAACTAGTAGGTGGATTAATAGCATGTTAGAAATAGCAAAAGACATAATGAGTGAATTGGAATATAAATCTGAAAAAAAATTACCCCTGCCAGAGTACAGATAGACCAGGAAATAACAGTGTCTGAGTTGGCTTGGGCTGATATAAGAAAATACCATAGACTGGGAGTCTTAAACAATAGAAATTCATTTTTTACAGTTCTGGCTGGAGAGCCAAAGATCAAGGTATCAGATAATTTAGTCTACAGTTCATACATAGCAAAGGCCTTCTCCATGGCTTGCAGATAACTGTGCTCTTTCTGTGTCTTCACGTGGCTGAGAGAGAGGAAGCTCTGGTGTCTCGTCCTCCTTCTATAGGGACATTAACTTCAATAAGGGGCTCCATCCAGATGACCTCCCCTTAATGTAATTACCTCACAAAGCTCCCACCCCCTTATACCATTACATCGGCGGTTATGGCTTCAGCAATTGAATTTAGGCAGGACAGAGACACTCAGTTGATAACAGTATAGAAGTTAAGAAACAAGAATGATGAAATAAAAAATATTTTTTCCTAATTAAAATCTTAGAATGGTATAAAAGGATAGATATAACACTCAAAGGATTAAAGGTTGAGAATTTACAAAAACTAGAAAATTTAAGAATAGAATTATATGTTCAGGAAGAAAAATGTATACCAACCAGGATAAATAGTTTAAACAAAAAGAAATGTTCACTTTAGTCAACTTCAGAGCACGACAAGCAACAATAATATTTAGAAGAGTAAGGAGAAGAGGATAAAACAGGAAAGGTATTTTATAGTGCGTCATATATGATAGAATCCTACTTGGTATATTTTATATATCTGATCCTCACAATCATCCTGTATAGGATGACCACTATTATTATCTTCAAAACACCTGAACAACATCACAGAACTAGTAAGTGGCAGATCTAGAATTCCTTCAAGGACCTAAGAGAAAATAATATTACTCTAATTCCATCAAAACTTCTCTCAAAACAAAGGCAAATAAAAATATTTTCAGCTAAACCAAGTAGCCTCTCTTGCAGAAACAATTAATACTGAGAATATATATTTCAGGGAAAAAAAAAAGATCCTAGGAGGAAGATCTGAAATGAAGGAATCATGAGCAGAGAATTTGGTCAACATGTCAGTATATCCAAATATCTGTGTCCACAAATAGTCCCTGAAAAAATAAAAATAAAACAACAACATCGACAATAATGGTTCTGTGTTGTTCAGAAAAGGTAACACACTGATACTCCTTAGACTTTTTAAAGTTATGTCTGGACAGTAAAATGTCAAGAGTAACTATTATAATAACAGAAATAGAGCATATACCTTCTGAACTTGTATAAGAAAAAAAGAATGGGCAAGGAAAGCTAACAATTATAAACATCTATCCAAATTATAAACATATGTGCAAAATAAAACAAGAAAAGAAGGGGGAAAAGCACTAGAATGACTAGTACAAACAGAAAAACCAACCAAAAATACAGTAGAAATGAATTTGAACATAATAATACCAATAAAAAGACAAAAGACTTTTTTGGTTTGACTATAAAGAAAACAGTTCAGCTATATGTTGTTTACATGAAGCACACTAAACTTTTAAAGATATACAAAGATTGAACATAAGAGAAGATTTTTTTAAAAGATGCCTAGGTAAAGGAAATGGAAATAAAGATTAAGAAGACATATTAATATCAGACAAAATAGACCATAGGGCAAAAGTGTGTTATTAGAAATAAAGAGAATTCCTATATAATGATAAAATGTTTCATTCCTAAAAATGTTTCAAAACTAAATTTCATAAAAATGCTAAATGTATCTTAGCTGGTAAAAAGTAACAATTAGAACCATAAAATCATAAATGACCAATCTATTCACAGAATGAAAGATTTACACACCTCTCTCAATTTAATTTTCCAATTCAAAATATAAATAAAGATATAGAATATTTAAGAAATTAAAATTACAAATTTTAAAGGCCACATATAAAATCTTTCACCATATAACTAGAGACTACACATTTAACTGAAACATATATGGAACATTTATAAAAACAGATAATATAATAAGCCACAAAACAAGTCTTAACAAATTTAACATAATTGTTATAAAGATTATATTTTCTCAGCATGATTCAATTGGTATGAATAAATAACAAAATTCTATATTTTTAAAACCTATGTTAATTTTAAAACACAGGTTAAATAACCTATATATTAAAAAAGAAATATTACTGGATTATTTTCAAATAACTAGAACTGAATAAAGACGCAACATATCAAAACAATGAAGCAAAATCAAAATAATATTTTGAAGGTAAATTTATTTTTTAAACTCTTTATAATGAAAAAGGCAGTCTCCAAATTTTCTCTTTTTTTTTTTGCTAAACATAAGACTTTAAAAACATATACTATAAAATAATAAAATAGGAGATCAATAAAGACCAAGGGTAACTCTATGAAGAAACTTATAAAATAAATAAATCTTTATAAGGCTGGAAAAACAAGAAAAATAAAAAGGCCCTTTAAAATGAGCATCTATTAAGCCAGATACTAAAGAGGTTTTAAAAAAGTATAATGTCATTCTTTTTAAATTTTTTGTTTGAGAATTATATTTATTTTCATACAAATGTTATTTATATTAACATGAGTTTTTGCAGATTATGAACAATCTACAAATAAATCATGTCAATTTTGTTTGGGTTGAGCAATTTATAATTTACAAACAGTAAGCAATAAGTATCAATTGTATTTATAAATATTTTATATATCCTGTAATTACTTTATTTCATAT